CTATCCAGGCAGTAATGTAACACACTATAGACTTCTAAATCACTGTCTGTCCGTCTCAGCTAGATAACACTAGGGAGGCTCACCTGTGTACCCTAGTAATGTAATACAGTCTATACTTCTAGCCTATCCAGGCAGTAATGTAACACACTATAGACTTCTAAATCACTGTCTGTCCGTATCAGCTAGACAACACTAGGGAGGCTCACCTGTGTACCCTAGTAATGTAATACAGTCTATACTTCTAGCCTATCCAGGCAGTAATGTAACACACTATAGACTTCTAAATCACTGTCTGTCCGTATCAGCTAGACAACACTAGGGAGGCTCACCTGTGTACCCTAGTAATGTAATACAGTCTATACTTCTAGCCTATCCAGGCAGTAATGTAACACACTATAGACTTCTAAATCACTGTCTGTTCGTCTCAGCTAGATAACACTAGGGAGGCTCATCTGTGTACCCTAGTAATGTAATACAGTCTATACTTCTAGCCTATCCAGGCAGTAATGTAACACACTATAGACTTCTAAATCACTGTCTGTCCGTCTCAGCTAGATAACACTAGGGAGGCTCACCTGTGTACCCTAGTAATGTAATACAGTCTATACTTCTAGCCTATCCAGGCAGTAATGTAACACACTATAGACTTCTTAATCACTGTCTGTTCTTCTAAGCTAGATAACACTAGGGAGGCTCACCTGTGTACCCTAGTAATGCAATACAGTCTATACTTCTAGCCTATCCAGGCAGTAATGTAACACACTATAGACTTCTAAATCACTGTCTGTTCGTCTGAGCTAGATAACACTAGGGAGGCTCACCTGTGTACCCTAGTAATGCAATACAGTCTATACTTCTAGCCTATCCAGGCAGTAATGTAACACACTATAGACTTCTTAATGACTGTCTGTTCGTCTCAGCTAGATAACACTAGGGAGGCTCACCTGTGTACCCTAGTAATGTAATACAGTCTATACTTCTAGCCTATCCAGGAAGTAATGTAACACACTATAGACTTCTAAATCACTGTCTGTTCGTCTCAGCTAGATAACACTAGGGAGGCTCTTCTGTGTACCCTAGTAATGTAATACAGTCTATACTTCTAGCCTATCCAGGCAGTAATGTAACACACTATAGACTTCTAAATCACTGTCTGTTCGTCTAAGCTAGATAACACTAGGGAGGTTCACCTGTGTACCCTAGTAATGTAATACAGTCTATACTTCTAGCCTATCCAGGCAGTAATGTAACACACTATAGACTTCTAAATCACTGTCTGTTCGTCTCAGCTATATAACACTGGGGAGGTTCACCTGTGTACCCTAGTAATGTAATACAGGCTATACTTCTAGCCTATCCAGGCAGTAATGTAACACACTATAGACTTCTAAATCACTGTCTGTTCGTCTCAGCTAGATAACACTAGGGAGGTTCACCTGTGTACCCTAGTAATGTAATACAGTCTATACTTCTAGCCTATCCAGGCAGTAATGTAACACACTATAGACTTCTAAATCACTGTCTGTTCGTCTCAGCTAGATAACACTGGGGAGGCTCACCTGTGTACCCTAGTAATGTAATACAGTCTATACTTCTAGCCTATCCAGGCAGTAATGTAATACACTATAGACTTCTAAATCACTGTCTGTTCGTCTCAGCTAGATAACACTAGGGAGGCTCACCTGTGTACCCTAGTAATGTAATACAGTCTATACTTCTAGCCTATCCAATTAGTAATGTAACACACTATAGACTTTTTAATCACTGTCTGTTCGTCTAAGCTAGATAACACTAGGGAGGCTCACCTGTGTACCCTAGTAATGTAATACAGTCTATACTTCTAGCCTATCCAGGCAGTAATGTAACACACTATAGACTTCTAAATCACTGTCTGTTCGTCTCAGCTAGATAACACTAGGGAGGCTCACCTGTGTACCCTAGTAATGTAATACAGTCTATACTTCTAGCCTATCCAGGCAGTAATGTAACACACTATAGACTTCTAAATCACTGTCTGTCCGTCTCAGCTAGATAACACTAGGAAGGCTCACCTGTGCACCCTAGTAATGTAATACAGTCTATACTTCTAGCCTATCCAGGCAGTAATGTAACACAATATAGACTTCTTAATCACTGTCTGTTCGTCTAAGCTAGATAACACCAGGGAGGCTCACCTGTGTACCCTAGTAATGTAATACAGTCTATACTTCTAGCCTATCCAGGCAGTAATGTAACACACTATAGACTTCTAAATCACTGTCTGTTCGTCTCAGCTAGATAACACTAGGGAGGCTCACCTGTGTACCCTAGTAATGTAATACAGTCTATACTTCTAGCCTATCCAGGCAGTAATGTAACACACTATAGACTTCTTAATCACTGTCTGTTCGTCTAAGCTAGATAACACTAGGGAGGCTCACCTGTGTACCCTAGTAATGTAATACAGTCTATACTTCTAGCCTATCCAGGCAGTAATGTAACACACTATAGACTTCTCGATCACTGTCTGTTCGTCTCAGCCAGATAACACTAGGGAGGCTCACCTGTGTACCCTAGTAATGTAATACAGTCTATACTTCTAGCCTATCCAGGCAGTAATGTAACACACTATAGACTTCTTAATCACTGTCTGTTCGTCTAAGCTAGATAACACTAGGGAGGCTCACCTGTGTACCCTAGTAATGTAATACAGTCTATACTTCTAGCCTATCCAGGCAGTAATGTAACACACTAAAGACTTCTTAATCACTGTCTGTTCGTCTCAGCTAGATAACACTAGGGAGGCTCACCTGTGTACCCTAGTAATGTAATACAGTCTATACTTCTAGCCTATCCAGGCAGTAATGTAACACACTATAGACTTCTAAATCACTGTCTGTTCGTCTAAGCTAGATAACACTAGGGAGGCTCACCTGTGTACCCTAGTAATGTAATACAGTCTATACTTTTAGCCTATCCAGGCAGTAATGTAACACACTATAGACTTCTAAATCACTGTCTGTCCGTCTCAGCTAGATAACACTAGGGAGGCTCACCTGTGTACCCTAGTATTGTAATACAGTCTATACTTCTAGCCTATCCAGGCAGTTATGTAACACACTATAGACTTCTTAATCACTGTCTGTTCGTCTAAGCTAGATAACACTAGGGAGGCTCACCTGTGTACCCTAGTAATGTAATACAGTCTATACTTCTAGCCTATCCAGGCAGTAATGTAACACACTATAGACTTCTAAATCACTGTCTGTCCGTCTCAGCTAGATAACACTAGGGAGGCTCACCTGTGTACCCTAGTAATGTAATACAGTCTATACTTCTAGCCTATCCAGGCAGTAATGTAACACACTATAGACTTCTTAATCACTGTCTGTTCGTCTCAGCTAGATAACACTAGGGAGGCTCACCTGTGTACCCTAGTAATGTAATACAGTCTATACTTCTAGCCTATCCAGGCAGTAATGTAACACACTATAGACTTCTAAATCACTGTCTGTTCGTCTCAGCTAGATAACACTAGGGAGGCTCACCTGTGTACCCTAGTAATGTAATACAGTCTATACTTCTAGCCTATCCAGGCAGTAATGTAACATACTATAGACTTCTAAATCACTGTCTGTTCGTCTCAGCTAGATAACACTAGGGAGGCTCACCTGTGTACCCTAGTAATGTAATACAGTCTATACTTCTAGCCTATCCAGGCAGTAATGTAACACACTATAGACTTCTTAATCACTGTCTGTTCGTCTAAGCTAGATAACACTAGGGAGGCTCACCTGTGTACCCTAGTAATGTAATACAGTCTATACTTCTAGCCTATCCAGGCAGTAATGTAACACACTATAGACTTCTAAATCACTGTCTGTCCGTCTCAGCTAGATAACACTAGGGAGGCTCACCTGTGTACCCTAGTAATGTAATACAGTCTATACTTCTAGCCGATCCAGGTAGTAGTGTAATATACTGTCAAATGCTAGCCTATCCAGGCAGTAATGTAATACACTGCAGAGTTCTACCCTATCCATGTAGTAATGTAGTATACCGTAGACTTCAAGGCTATCCGGGTAGTATTGTAATATACTGTAGACTTTTAGCCTATCCAGGTAGTAATGCAATATACTGTAGACTTTCAGCCTATCCAGGTAGTAATGTAATATACTGTAGACTTCTAGCCTGTGCAGGTAGTAATGTAATATACTGTAGACCTTTAGCCTATCCAGGTAGTAATGTAATATACTGTAGACTTTAAGCCTATGCGGGTAGTATTGTAATACACTGTAGACATCTAGCTTATCCGTGTAGTAATGTAATATACTGTAGACTTTAAGCCTGTCCAGGTAGTATTGTAATACACTGTAGACATCTAGCTTATCCGTGTAGTAATGTAATACACTGTAGACATCTAGCTTATCCGTGTAGTAATGTAATATACTGTAGAATTTAAGCCTATCCAGGTAGTATTGTAATACACTGTAGACATCTAGATTACCCGTGTAGTAATGTAATATTCTATAGACTTCTATCCTATCAGGGTAGTATTGTAATGCGATGTGGACTTCTGGCTTATTAGGGCAGCAATGTAATGCACTGTAAACCTCTAACCGATCTGGATATTAATGTAAATACTCTGCACAGTTCTAGCCTATCCAGGTAGTTATGTAATACACTGTAGAATTCAATATCACTGTCTGTCCGTCTCTGCTAGATTACACTAGGGAGGCTCACCTGTGTACCCTGGTAATGTAATACAGTCTATACTTCTAGCCTATCCAGGTAGTAGTGTAATATACTGTAAAATTCTAGCCTTTCCAGGTAGAAATGCCATACACTGTAGACTTCTAGCCTATATAAGTAGTAATGTAATACACTTTAGGCTTCTAGCCTATCTGGGTAGTAAGGTAATACAGTGCAGACTCCAACCTATCCAGGTAGTAATGTAATACACTGTAGACTTCTAAATCACTGTCTCTCCGTCTCAGCTGCATAACACCAGCGAATCTCACCTGTGTACCCTCCAGGGGGGTTTAGAATAGCGCTGTGATGTAGCGTTGCCCAGTAGTATTCGTCTGGACTTAAAACACCCTTGCTCCACTGTAGCAGGTCCCTGGCCCGAGTGTCATTCAAAATAAAATCTACAAAAGCTCTTGAAAACACTCCGTATGCGCTCCCCTTCACTATTGTAATGTTGTGAGGCGCAGGGGGGTTCTTCTCTTCCGTTCTCTTTATCAATATTTTTGAATTGGTCTTTTTGATATACACATGTTTGTGGATAAATCGGTCGCTGATCATTCTAGCACCGGTAATGCCTTCAATATCATTAGAGCCATTGTAAATCTTTAATATTTTCACGATCTCCGCATTCGTTTTCAATGGATATTGCTGACTCGGAAGGTTTAAGAAATACTTCCAATCAACAGGCGAGGCTGTGAGATCTGCCATACAGTTTATATCAGCCTGGAGACGAGTAAAACCGGCATACACCACCGACTCTGTCTTGGAAACAATAAACACATTCTTCAAACAATCTGACACTGCTTTGGCAGCAAGATGAACGCTTTGGTCACTTTTACCATCAACATGTAGGCAGTACACGTTGTGAGATCTATAGATTGCTTTCAGGAGGAGGTTCACCTGGGCCACGTCTTTGTACAACAATATGCTGTAGGCAATAGGAAACGCCTTCTCCTCCTCGGACACTGGGGAACTCCCATAGCCATGTCTAGCAATAAAGCTTTCACAGAAGATGGCTTCCTTGTAGACATCATGGTCAGAGGGTAGTTTGTATGCCACGCTCTTCCTGATCTCGCCAGCCTTTTCACAGGCCACCATGTCTCCCTCGAACATACGTCGGCAGTCTATAGGAAAGTCTTTATATTGGGGAAAACTGGAGTATTTGAAAGTGTATTTATAGCCGGTACTGTTGGTGGAATTGTGTGGCACAGGGACGAGGCCGACAGGGCGACTGTTGTCGACCAAGGTGACCTTGTGACCTCGCCGGACATTCTCTAGCTCCATCGTGACGCTGACTAGTCGTATGGACGTGTAACACACCACCGCTAGCAGCAACACCATCATTAACGTCCTGGACCCGCGCCACCACATCACTGTCACCCGACCTGGGAACACAATACAAGATATCAATTAATCTTTATTTCACAAATACTGAAAGGCCATACGCCTATAGTACATATCTTTGTGGATAGTGGGTGGACATATTGATTTCTACTTATTTAAGTCATTATCATTTCTAAAATTCATTGCATAGAATATATACGCAGTCAAATACTTCAGTACATTGATATTTGTAGAAGACATCAATTCATTAAACTTATATATATTTGAAAATGTGTACATTGATGGGTGTAGGTATATAATTCGTAAATTCGGATAAAAAGACAAATGAGAACAAAATGGGACTCATCCTCTATTAGCTGTAGATTACACATTTTACATAATTTAATTTCCTTTGGGATTTTGAAATATCTTCCCGTTTCAATAGTTAATTCATGTGATGAATCTGAATCTAGAAAATGCAATTCCATATTTGTACAAGAGTGGTTTCAAAAGATATTCTGCGGTTATAAAATGTGTTTTAAACAAACTAAAGTACTGACATTTTGACGATTAAGCTAACAAATAATACCACTGTTATATGTACGTATCTATGAGCCTTTGTGTACATAATTTCACAAAATGTTCAGTACAATCTCCATTTTGACTTTGCCAAGCATAACCAAAGCCTAAATCATTTATGAGCTTTTTAACTGAAGAAACCCAGTTTTGCTTTCCATTTTTGTCATACAATACCATCATTTCATACCACTTTCTTGGGTACCTGTGATTTGGCATCCGTAATAGCCTTAACCAGTACTTTATGACTTTAATTTGTGCATTTATATATAATGGAGACCTACCACATTCACCATACACAACTACATTGGGGGTATTTATCTTTACTCCTAAACATCTTTTGCATGCATATACATGACCCTTTCAATCAATTCAGCCCCATATAGTAGAGTTGGCTTTATTTTTGTGTCAAAAATTTAAAAAAATAGATTACAATTTACACTCTCAGTAGATCTGAGACGTTTAAGTATCCCATAGAGGATTTTCTTTGATTGTGTTGCATCCTGTATTGAATTAAAATTCCAAGATAATTTAATAGAAATACAATTATTTCTCCATTTTTGATAACATACCGCCGTTTTTAAATACAATAATTTTGGTCTTTTTTGTGTTAACACTTAAACCAAATTGTTCACAAAATAGCTCCAGCAAATCTATCTGACTTTGAAGTCCGGTACAGTACTCGAAATCATTACGACATCATCGGCAAACAGAAGCAAAAATATTTTAACAATATCTGGGTGTAGCTGTATACCACCTTTACAATTGTTTTGTATTTCTTCTGGCCGCTCATTAATAAAGAAAGTAAAGAGAAAAGGACTTAATACACATCCTTGTCGAACGCCTACATTGCATTCCAAATCTTCTGAATACTTACCATTACTTCTTACACAAGCCTTTACTTGTTTACAGATACTTGATACTAGTTTCAACATCTTGCTCCTTACTCTTCGTAATTTAAGCAAGGCACAAAGTTTATCACAATTAACTGAGTCAAATGCTTCAGAAAAATCTACAAACAGCGCATAAAGTTTCCCTCCTTTACTTGATAAATAACGTTGAATTAAGGAATGTAACACAAAAATGTTGTCTATAGTTCAGGACCCCTCTCTAAAACCAGCTTTTGCCTCATCTATTTTCTTAAATGATTCAGCCCCAAATACTAATCTTCTATTAATGATATCTAAGAATATTTTACTCAGTATACTTAATAATGTGATGCCTCTGTAGTTATTGGTATCATTTTTATTACCTTGTTTGTGAAGAGGAATGATAATGCCCACTTTTTGGGAAAATTGGATTTTTCAAAAATAGCATTAAACAAGACTCCTAAATATGGGACAATTATACCTGATGAATTCTTTAAAAAAGGAGACTTTTCTTTTTTCAATCTTTGTATACTTGAAGTGATTTCTTCTCTTGAAATAGGAAAATCTAACATATCAGCTACTAAACTAGCCTCCTCATAGTCTATTTCGATGTCTTCCTGCAAAATCTTCACTGTTATTGTCAAAAGAAAATAAATCTCTGAAATGTTAATACCAGGTATCTATGTTTATGTCATTTTTATAAACCTGTCTTTTACCATTCAAGTGTTTGAGAGTAGACCAGAACATTTTTGGATCATTAATGCTACTTTCTAGTTTTTCTCGCTGTCTCGCCTTGTATTCCCTTGTTTTTACTTCTGCATGTACTGTTATACTTATTTCTAGCCTGGTTGTAAATTGATATGGATACTGCATCTATGAGTTTCCTAATTATATTTAAGCACCTACATCTTTCCTTTTTGAGGAATATCCAACCATTTCTTATCTGTAATACTTCGACCAACTTTCCATCTCATACACATACCAGACTTACACAATGCTTCAACCAAACATTGCACACTTTCATTAATATCAGTTAATGTCACTTCCATTGATCTGTGAAGGAATTCGTGTACAGTATCAGAGTAAAAAGCATCATGAAATTGCGCGTTCTTATCATTGTCCCACACAAACTTGAAGCAATCACCTGTATTACTAGGTGTGTTACCTAAATGTCCAGGAAATGTGACATCTGCTGATTGTAGACTGACGGTGACAGGTAGATGTGATGATTCAGCTATTGATGGAATAATTAAGTCAGTACAGCAATGAAAAAGGTGTGGTGAACATATAACATAATCAATGACACTAGTCCCATTATGACCAACGTCCCAGTCAGAGCCACATCTCGCATATATTATGGGAATGCTGAGTACGGAGTACTCAATACAAGATATACAACAACATTGACAGTGTCCTCTACCGCTCTCACTGACAGAATACAAGATATACAGCAACATTGTCAGTGTCCTCTACCGCTCTCACTGACAAGATACAAGATATACAGCAACATTGTCAGTGTCCTCTACCGCTCTCACTGACAGAATACAAGATATACAACAACATTGACAGTGTCCTCTACCACTCTCACTGACAAAATACAAGATATACAGCAACATTGTCAGTGTCCTCTACCACTCTCACTGACATAATAGAAGATATACAACAACATCATCAGTGTCCTCTACCAGTCTAACTGACAGAGTACAAGATATACAACAACATTGTCAGTGTCCTCTACCAGTCACACTGATACAATACAAGATATACAGCAACATTGTCAGTGTCCTCTACCGCTCTCACTGACAGAATACAAGATATACAACAACATTGACAGTGTCCTCTACCAGTCTCACTGACAGAATACAAGATGTACAGCAACATCGTCAGTGTCCTCTACCACTCTCACTGACAGAATACAAGATATACAACAACATTATCAGTGTCCTTTACCGCCCTCACTGACAGAACACAAGATATACAACAACATCTTCATTGTCCTCTACCACTCTCACTGACATAATAGAAGATATACAGTAACATTGACAGTGTCCTCTACCACTCTCATTGACATAATTGAAGATATACAGCAACATCGTCAGTGTCCTCTACCGCTCTCATTGACATAATAGAAGATATACAGCAACATCATCAGTGTCCTCTACCGCTCTCATTGACATAATAGAAGATATACAACAACATCATCAGTGTCCTCTACCGCTCTCACTGACAGAAGGGGCGGTCGGGTAGCCTGGTGGTTAAAGCGTTCGCTCGTCACGCCGAAGACCCGGGTTCGATTCCCGACATGGGTACAATGTGTGAAGACAATTTTTGGTGTCCCCCGCCGTGATGTTGCTGGAATATTGCTAAAAGCGGCGTAAAACCATACTCACTCACTCAGTCACTGACAGAATACAAGATGTACAGCAACATTGTCAGTGTCCTCTACCGCTCTCACTGACAGAGTACAATATATACAACAACATTGTCAGTGTCCTCTACCACTCTCACTGACAGAGTACAATATATACAACAACATCGTCAGTGTCCTCTACCACTCTCACTGACAGAATAGAAGATATACAACAACATCGTCAGTGTCCTCTACCGCTCTCATTGACATAATAGAAGATATACAGCAACATCGTCAGTGTCCTCTACCAGTCTCCCTGACACCATACAAGATATACAACAACATTGTCAGTGTCCTCTACCAGTCTCACTGATACAATACAAGATATACAACAAACAACATCGTCAGTGTCCTCTACCACTCTCAATGACAGAATACAAAATACGCACAACATTGTCTGTGTCCTCTACCACTCTCACTAACATAATAGAAGATATACAGCAACATCATCAGTGTCCTCTACCAGTCTCACTGATACAATACACGATATACAGTAACATCGTCAGTGTCCTCTACCGCTCTCATTGACATAATAGAAGATATACAGCAACATCGTCAGTGTCCTCTACCACTCTCACTGACATAATAGAAGATATACAGTAACATCGTCAGTGTCCTCTACCGCTCTCAATGACATAATAGAAGATATACAACAACATTGTCAGTGTCCTCTACCGCTCTCATTGACATAATAGAAGATATACAGCAACATCGTCAGTGTCCTCTACCGCTCTCAATGACATAATAGAAGATATACAACAACATTGTCAGTGTCCTCTACCGCTCTCATTGACATAATAGAAGATATACAGCAACATCATCAGTGTCCTCTACCAGTCTCACAGATACAATACAAGATATACAGCAACATTGTCAGTGTCCTCTACCACTCTCACTGACAGAATACAAGATATACAACAACATTGTCAGTGTCCTCTACCAGTCTCACAGATACAATACAAGATATACAGCAACATTGTCAGTGTCCTCTACCACTCTCACTGACAGAATACAAGATATACAACAACATTGTCAGTGTCCTCTACCAGTCTCACAGATACAATACAAGATATACAGCAACATTGTCAGTGTCCTCTACCAGTCTCCCTGACACAATACAAGATATACAACAACATTGTCAGTGTCCTCTACCAGTCTCACTGATACAATACAAGATATACAACAAACAACATCGTCAGTGTCCTCTACCACTCTCACTGACAGAATACAAAATACGCATAACATTGTCTGTGTCCTCTACCACTCTCACTGACATAATACAAGATATACAACAAACAACATCGTCAGTGTCCTCTACCACTCTCACTGACAGAATACAAAATACGCATAACATTGTCTGTGTCCTCTACCACTCTCACTGACATAATACAAAATACGCATAACATTGTCTGTGTCCTCTACCACTCTCACTGACAGAACACAAGATGTACAACAACATTGTCTGTGTCCTCTACCACTCTCACTGACATATTAGAAGATATACAGCAACATCGTCAGTGTCCTCTACCGCTCTCATTGACAGAAGGGGCGGTCGGGTAGCCTGGTGGTTAAAGCGTTCGCTCGTCACGCCGAAGACCCGGGTTCGATTCCCGACCGCTCTCACTGACAGAATACAAGATATACAACAACATCGTCAGTGTCCTCTACCAGTCTCACTGACAGAGTACAAGATATACAACAACATTGTCAGTGTCCTCTACCAGTCTCACTGATACAATACAAGATATACAACAACATCGTCAGTGTCCTCTACCACTCTCATTGACATAATAGAAGATATACAGCAACATTGTCAGTGTCCTCTACCACTCTCACTGACAGAATACAAAATACGCATAACATTGTCTGTGTCCTCTACCACTCTCAATGACATAATACAAGATATACAACAACATCGTCAGTGTCCTCTACCACTCTCATTGACATAATAGAAGATATACAGCAACATTGTCAGTGTCCTCTACCACTCTCATTGACATAATAGAAGATATACAACAACATCGTCAGTGTCCTCTACCACTCTCATTGACATAATAGAAGATATACAACAACATCGTCAGTGTCCTCTACCACTCTCATTGACATAATAGAAGATATACAACAACATCGTCAGTGTCCTCTACCACTCTCATTGACATAATAGAAGATATACAACAACATCGTCAGTGTCCTCTACCACTCTCATTGACATAATAGAAGATATACAACAACATTGTCAGTGTCCTCTACCACTCTCACTGACAGAACACAAGATGTACAACAACATTGTCAGTGTCCTCTACCACTCTCACTGACAGAACACAAGATGTACAACAACATTGTCAGTGTCCTCTACCACTCTCAATGACATAATACAAGATATACAACAACATTGTCAGTGTCCTCTACCACTCTCATTGACATAATAGAAGATATACAGCAACATTGTCAGTGTCCTCTACCACTCTCACTGACAGAACACAAGATGTACAACAACATTGTCAGTGTCCTCTACCACTCTCACTGACAGAACACAAGATGTACAACAACATTGTCAGTGTCCTCTACCACTCTCACTGACAGAACACAAGATGTACAACAACATTGTCAGTGTCCTCTACCACTCTCACTGACAGAACACAAGATGTACAACAACATTGTCAGTGTCCTCTACCACTCTCAATGACATAATACAAGATATACAACAACATTGTCGCTGTCCTCTACCACTCTCACTGACAGAATACAAGATATACAGCAACATCATCAATACCTACTACCCCATGATGAAATCTGGCCAATACGCCCAACAGCCTGATGAAGCGGCCACGTGTAAGTCTATCACACGCCCTGATCACTCTCCTGGCCTTAGACAGAAATTTAAGACCGGATTTTCCCCGAGGTTTAAGTGTACACCTCGACACCTGATTCCGCCTCACAATTACCTTACAACTACGCATTGTTTGTACCTGGGTGTCGCGTAGCGTGTCTCCAGCGCATGTTAAGCGTCCGACAGCCTTGTGATGTGAGCGTCATCTACAACGTGTACGGTCACACAACATCACCATAATACCAGTCAATACTTGAAGGTCTATAAGGCTGCACGCAGGCATGTATGGATTCAGTATCCAGGGGGTGGTAGTTGTTGGTGGGGGGATGGAGGTCACAGTAAAAGTTTAAGTAATGTGTTTGTGAATGATGACTGATAATGTATACTTTATACTTCTATTCATATGTGATTTTCAAAAGGGGTGGGGAATGTGCATGCGGTGAGGAGCCTGCTTTGTGTGGACATATTGACTTCAGGGTAAAAACTTATATATCTTTTACATCTGAATAATAGAACATGTAGCGCTCCAGTAATCACACCGTGGCTATTGTTGAACAGGTCACAGAAACCTAGCCGTTACAGTTTGTTTACGTGATAGTTGTCGCATGGTAAAACAGGCAGACATCAGACGTCGCCCTTAAATTCGTATGTATGTAGATCATAATACACCCGGTTAAGACTGTGACAGGGGACTAACTGAAACATGTAAATGGTCAATACTATGAATACTATTCCTGTTTGCATTATCATCTGTTATCATCTGAGCTAATGGAAATGATAATTCTCACGGCCTTCAATTATCGACTTGTGACTTGAATGCGGTATTCTACAGCTATATTGTCGTTCCTGATGGTCACAGCTGTAAGATGTTCACCGCTTCATTGCCAGAAGCGCTTCGCTCCATTCATAACGATTCTCCATCAGAAAATAGGTGATTTAAAGGTAGAAGACATGTTGGAAGTTTTAGTTGTGACAGAATTATGGTATGTTGGATAGGCTCGAGATTTAATAGAAACTAGACAATAAAGGCGACAAGTATTACTGTATATCACGTGTCGCTGGAAAGAAAGTAAATACGCCTACTGTACAATGCTACATGTCTACTGTACAATGCTCCATGCCTACTGTACAATGAAAATGTCTACTGTACAATGCCACATGTCTACTGTACAATGCTAATGTCTACAGTACAATGCTCCATGTCTACTGTACAATGAAAATGTCTACTGTACAATACTCCATGTCTACTGTACAATGATCCATGTCTACTGTACAATGCTAATGTCTACTGTACAATGCTAATGTCTACTGTACAATGCTATATGTCTACTGCACAATGCTCCATGTCTACTGTACAATGCTATATGTCTACTGCACAATGCTCCATGTCTACTGTACAATGCTCCATGTCTACTGTACAATGAAAATGTCTACTGTTCAATGCTCCATGTCTACTGTACAATGCTCCATGTCTACTGTACAATGATCCATGTCTACTGTACAATGCTAATGTCTACTGTACAATGCTAATGTCTACTGTACAATGCTAATGTCTACTGTACAATGCTATATGTCTACTGTACAATGCTCCATGTCTACTGTACAATGATCCATGTCTACTGTACAATGATCCATGTCTACTGTACAATGCTCCATGTCTACTGTACAGTGCTCCATGTCTACTGTACAATGCTCCATGTCTACTGTACAATGCTATATGTCTACTGCACAATGCTCCATGTCTACTGTACAATGCTACATGTCTACTGTACAGAGATGCAGACGTGTCTACCGCACAACACACACACACACACACACACACACACACACACACACACACACACACACACACACACACACACACACACACACACACACTAACCGCCTCAACGCCTCAAGTTCTTCAGAATTAGGAAACTGACCGGCAAGGACGGAAGACATGTAATCTCTGCACAACACGGAAGTCGTGATAGCCTGCGTAGACGATATTCAACTGAATACTATTCTCTGACTGTGCGTTCTGGTGACGATCTGACGCGCGGGGTCAAATGACAACATTGTGCTTCCGTTCCTATGTTAATGTTATTGTGTGTGATACTGTAGGCGAGCTGTATCGCCGGCACAAACTGACACCTGCTACGCCATAGGAGTGCTAATTACTTTTAGGCTCCATGTTAACCTGTACATAGACAAAAGGTTGGAGGCTAATGGGGAATAACTTGACTATTTACTTACGTGGGAGTTAGGTCTTGCGTCTACACCATGTTGCCACTGGGGGCGTGAGACGAGATCAGCCAAATCGATAACACACGCCCCTCACCCAAAATTGAAACAATCCCATCTGTCACATCTGGAAACGACGCAGTCGTACAACCAGAACACGGAACTTATGTCATAAACAATGCGGACATTGCAGGGGGTGTTATAATACACTGGTCGAATGGAACAGCTCGGCGAGGTCGTTGTCATGGTAACTGACCGTTCCCCGAAGAAAATCGATGCTAAGAAGCTGACAAATGGAGCAACATCGACAGGCAGAGCGCAGTGTCCGGGAACACGCGGAGACCATGATAGCGCACGTACTAACCCCAGGCTCCATGCTAGACAAACACAGATTAATAACATAATTGTTGCTCATTCTCGCCATAGCTGTAGATACTGGTCGCATTGCTGCATGTCATGATAACAACTACTTTGTACACTCACACTCACGTTGTTTCTGGTGCATGTTATAACACAATGGTATTTGTACACTAACACTCACATTGTTTCTGGTGCATGTTATAACACAGTGGTATTTGTACACTCACACTCACGTTGTTTCTGGTACATGTTATAACACAGTGGTATTTGTACATTCACACTCACGTTGTTTCTGGTGCATGTTATAACACAGTGGTATTTGTACACTCACACTCACGTTGTTTCTGGTGCATGTTATAACACAGTGGTATTTGTACACTCACACTCACGTTGTTCCTGGTGCATGTTATAACACAGTGGTATCTGTACACTCACACTCACGTTGTTTCTGGTGCATGTTATAACACAGTGGTATCTGTACACTCACACTCACGTTGTTTCTGGTGCATGATATAACACTGGTATTTGTACATTCACACTCGCGTTGTTTCTGGTGCATGTTATAACACAGTGGTATTTGTACATTCACACTCACATTGTTTCTGGTGCATGTTATAACACAGTGGTATTTGTACACTCACACTCATGTTGTTTCTGGTGCATGTTATCGCACAGTGGTATTTGTACACTCACACTCACGTTGTTTCTGGTGCATGATATAACACAGTGGTATTCGTACACTCACACTCACGTTGTTTCTGGTGCATGTTATAACACAGTGGTATTTGTACACTCACACTCATGTTGTTTCTGGTGCATGTTATCGCACAGTGGTATTTGTACACTCACACTCACGTTGTTTCTGGTGCATGATATAACACTGGTATTTGTACATTCACATTCACGTTGTTTCTGATGCATGTTATAACACAGTGGTATCTGTACGCTCACACTCACGTTGTTTCTGGTACATGATATAACACTGGTATTTGTACATTCACATTCACGTTGTTTCTGATGCATGTTATAACACAGTGGTATTTGTACACTCACACTCACGTTGTTTCTGGTGCATGTTATAACACAGTGGTATTTGTACACTCACACTCACGTTGTTTCTGGTGCATGTTATAACACAGTGGTATTTGTACATTCACACTCACGTTGTTTCTGGTACATGTTATAACACAGTAGTATTTGTACATTCACACTCACGTTGTTTCTGGTACATGTTATAACACAGTGGTATTTGTACACTCACGCTCACGTTGTTTCTGGTACATGTTATAACACGGTGGTATCTGTACATTCACACTCACGTTGATTCTGATGCATGTTATAACACAATGGTATTGGTACACTCACACTCACGTTGTTTCTGGTGCATGTTACAACACAGTGGTATTTGTACACTCACACTCACGTTGTTTCTGGTGCATGTTACAACACAGTGGTATTTGTACACTCACACTGACGTTGTTTCTGGTGCATGTTATAACACAGTGGTATTTGTACATTGACACTCACGTTGTTTCTGGTACATGTTATAACACAGTGGTATCTGTACATTCACACTCACGTTGATTCTGATGCATGTTATAACACAGTGGTATTTTTACACCCACACTCACGTTGTTTCTGGTACATGTTATAACACAATGGTATTTGTACACTCACACTCACGTTGTTTCTGGTGCATGTTACAACACAGTGGTATTTGTACACTCACAATCACGTTGTTTCTGGTGCATGTTACAACACAGTGGTATTTGTACACTCACACTCACGTTGTTTCTGGTGCATGTTACAACACAGTGGTATTTGTACACTCACAATCACGTTGTTTCTGGTGCATGTTACAACACAGTGGTATTTGTACACTCACACTCACGTTGTTTCTGGTGCATGTTATAACACAGTGGTATTTGTACATTCACACTCACGTTGTTTCTGGTACATGTTATAACACAGTGGTATTTGTACACTCATGCTCACGTTGTTTCTGGTGCATGTTATAACACAGTGGTATCTGTACACTGACACTCACGTTGTTTCTGGTACATGTTATAACACAGTGGTATTTGTACATTCACACTCACGTTGTTTCTGGTGCATGTTATAACACAGTGGTATTTGTACACTCACACTCACGTTGTTTCTGGTGCATGTTATAACACAGTGGTATCTGTACACTGACACTCACGTTGTTTCTGGTACATGTTATAACACAGTGGTATTTGTACAGTCACACTCACGTTGTTTCTGGTGCATGTTATAACACAGTGGTATTTGTACATTCACACTCACGTTGTTTCTGGTGCATGTTATAACACAGTGGTATCTGTACACTCACACTCACGTTGTTTCTGGTACATGTTATAACACAGTGGTATTTGTACATTCACACTCACGTTGTTTCTGGTACATGTTATGGCACAGTGGTATTTGTACACTCACACTCACGTTGGTTCTGGTGCATGTTATAACACAATGATATGTGTACACTCACACTCACGTTGTTTCTGGTGCATGTTATAACACAGTGGTATTTGTACACTCACATACAGTGGTCAGTACCAGTGTAAGCTGCTACAATCTTTCCCCCTTCAGACTTTAGAGTATACCCGTGTAGATTCTTGGAGCTCACAGAATCTACCCCGGAGTGAATTTGGGTACTTCCCAGAATCTACCCCCCTTTCCCAGAATCTACCCACAGGGGGTATAATCTGGGAGTTCCCAGTACCCACCCCGGTGTAGATAATAATAAATCGTTATCGAATCCAAAAATTCAAAATCTTGTTTTGTACATGGAAAGAAGAAATAAATATTGTTTAAACTAATAAAAAATATCTTACAAATCATATTGACTTTAACTCATTGTAGTCATCATCAATTTATAAGTTCGAAAGTTGGTATTGAGAATTGTGTGAGGAAATGTCTTACACTTGTGTTATTGAATAAGTTTCATACATATCATGATATAGGGAAGGCTCATGTCACAGGTGCCGGTAACATCACTGTGTTATTGTTAATATCCCCTTTCAGCAGCAGCTTTGTTGTGGCGAGACTGTCCATTATCTGATAGAACGGGGAGTCAGGAGACATAGACTTACACATGCCTTTCCCAAAGCATTGACAACATTTCTTTAGTTATTTTTGGACGTATTCAAATATATTATACTTGTTCACGTTACATTATTTGTCTAGCTAGTATAAATCACGCTGTCCATTTATATAATAATTTTGTTTCGAAAGTAAACCATACCGAGTTAGCCAAGAAAGTGTTTACTGTTAAATTGTTAACTTGAACTCTTTTCAAATCTTTTTCTTACAGGCAAGAACTCCTGAAGTATCACTCCCTCTCGCCACCTATATTTAAGTACATTTGTGTAGACCTTTCTGTTTCAGCATACTTGTTTCAGTGTTTTTCTATTGAATTTTCTTATGCATTGTTTTTTCATTTCTCCACTCTGGGTCATCCTCAATACGACACTTACACGTTACCTATTATTTGATCAAACTTTCAGTCACCGGCGGCCTACAGGGGTAGCTTATTCTGGAATATTATGTATGTTTGCATCAATGTTCACACAATCCAAACCAAACGACAATATTATTTTGACATGTACAGATACACACAAAACAAAAGTTACCAAATCTGTTTTATATGCATAATTCCCCAAGTTGCTAACGGTAAGTCTCCCGTCAACACGTCAACGACTAATGATGACAGTACATCTGTAATCTGATACCATGTCTCCAAATAAACTGCAGCTGTAAAAATCCCTTCATTGAAGGTTGACATGAACAAATCTCCCACCTCCTCACTGATAAAGACGAGGACGGCTGTATAATTAACTTCCTTATGTCTCTGTAGCAAGATATAGCAGACGACACTTTCTTTACTTCCGGCTGGGGATGCACTTACATCATTCTATCTCTTATTCAATTTGTTCCACCTAGAATATCATTAAGCGTGCCAAATAAAACAGGTAATGTTTAGAACTATGTGAATGGTAGTGAATTGAGTATAGTGTAGTTTCTTTAAGACCTATTATTGCGGCATTAAAGACGCTCTAAGTAAAATTGTCATATACATGCATCAATTCAACTCATTACCGAATCAAATAATCTGATTTGATTTCTGATCAAATAATCTATGAACCAAATGAGCAAAAAATCTTTTCGCTTGCAGCTATTATAATATGATTCATATGATCAGTACTTTGACCTTTGGGAAGCTCTTTTTTAATTGTATGCCCGTCATTTACAAACGTAATGTAATGTTACCTGTGATCAAATTTTCATTGGAAACAACATAAGAACAATGGTTGCAAAGTTATCATAAAACCTTTATGAACTACAACACATTGGTAAACAAATAAATGTAATTCCTTACAAGGGTAAACACGATTATCTTAGTAGTAAAGTCCAGAAAATTACAGTCACATCATGATTCTTCTGCATAACTCACAGCCTGTAAAAGTGATCTTATGCATGTAAATATTCATTTGAAAATAAATATGTACTATTCTGTCCAGACTCATTACAGGTTCAGCCATTGAAACATCGCTTGAAAAAGATATATTATGCAGTTTTAACTTTAGTTAATTACCCATTCTTCGCATGAAGCGTTTTGTTTATAGATTGGAGTGAGTGAGTTGGGTTTAACGTCGCTTTAAACAGTATTCCAGTTATATCGCGGCGTGTCAGCTTAATGTGGGAGGAAAGCTTGAAGTGATGCAGGACGTTTACCACTTCAGTGAAACCAACGAGCACGGGTATGGTGCTGACAAACCTTGAAACATAATCGTTGCGAACCGGGAATCGAACCAAAAATCATAGGTTTCTGGCGTGCCCAAGGGACGCAACTCTGCACAGTAAATCGCGGCGCCTCAGACGACTGGGCCATCAGTGGCCCCTTATAGATTTTGAATAGAGAAGGGATTGTTATGTAGTGAGTTGTATGGTACAACAGTCATTCAAACATTTTGTAGGATGACTTGCTAACTGTAAAATAGAAATCATTGAGTGAATCTGTC